CTTACGTACGATGTTCTACGTTGCATCTGACTGAATTTTGCGTTAAATCAACGTATTATTTGAAGTGATATTCATTTAAATAAACAAAATATAACTAAAATACAAGAATATATATGGTGTATATTTAGAATTGTTGACTTTTTTTACTTGGAACAAAGCTGTGAAATAGATAACAAATCATTTGTTTAAACGCTTTATTTTTAAACATTTATGAAATTAAAGGCAATTTTCATGTTACAAAACGTAGAACTTCATACGCACGTACCACATGTTCCAACCGCCTCAGCTGATGAAGTTTCAATATTTCACCTATTGACCAGCCATCCTTACCTAGCACCCGTTTCCTAACAACAGCATCGCTTACTCGGTTGTCCCATGATACACGAGCAATGCTTCGGAGATACTTATGGTCGAATAGTAGTTGTGGTTTGCGCTACTTATAAGTAGTATATGACGTGAGTGTCAACGTAATGTCTGGCAGCAGTAGATGGGGGAAGATCAAGAAAGGAAGAAGAGTGGGAACACAATGGAATTTGTATGAAACGCATGAATAGTGAGTGAAATGTCAGACAATGGATTGAAGATTTGCAAATTAACCGTTTACGATATGGTTTTCCTATTTTACTGATTAACTCTGTAATTAGCGATAAATACAATTCGATTGCCCTCACCTGTGTTCTCCTTCGCTACACTAGTAATCAACTAATATCCTCTACTTTTATTGGCTATGTTTCACACCCATAAAGTAGGACTGAGAGAACTACTTCGCAGTAGACTCATCCTTCGGTTAGTTAACCGAGATCTTGCCTACGATATAAGTGACGCAAATTGGCAAAAGCCAGTCGAACCTTTAGTATCGGTAGTGAGGTTCCATCAGACACCAGGATGTCAACACTGATGAGATACCTAAGATAAGTGAAGTGATCAACACGCTCGACAACTTCATTCTCGATCACCAATTCAGGTGCCGAAAAAAGACACACCTGAAGTAACATTTTGCATTTCGAGGGGGAATCTCACGTCAAATATGCTTGCATTGTTGTAAAGCTGGTTAGAAGACTGCATTTTGTCAGCGTCTTCAGCAAACAGAACTATATCACCTGCATATTCTAAGTCAGCTAGTGAATCTCCTGGGAGAAGGTCAGCTCCAAAAAAGTATGTTGATGGAAATGTTGAACTAGAATGGAGAAAGCAGATAATCTTGACGAATATTACTAGTACTAATCGAGTCCGATGACAGTTCGCTATAAGCTATCACTGGACGGGCAGTGTTCGAGTACAAAACCAGACACTGTCATAGAGCCTCAGGATCAACAGAGTCGAACACCGCCTCAAGGTAGAGGACAACTATTATCCGACGTCGAAATGTGTTTACGTCCTAGGGCCTGCCGATGTTTGAATGTCTGGTACATACAGCCACGTCCAGGTCTGAAACCAGATTGGTTTTCGCCAGTCTGCTCTTCACGAGCTCTAGTTAGGCATCGAAGTATTATTGAAGCTAATACTTTAGAAATTATATTAGTTAAACTGATTTCTCTGTGTGTTAGGATATTCATCCAATAATATCCTAAGAGAATTGTTGGTCAATTCCTATTGGTTAATTCATACTGGTCAATTTTAATGGTCGTCCTAGATATCAATGTCACGTGCTCCAATGTTGTTTCTTATTGGTTGTCCTGACTATCATTGTCACTTCAAATGTTGCTTCCTATTGGTCGTCTTAACTGTCAATGTCACAGACTTCGGAGTTGTTTTCTATTCGACCAAAATGTATAAATACGCGTTATCTGTAACGTTTTATGACCAGGAGCAGGAAACGGTCCCGGATCCTGATTCTCTAGACTCGGGTCCCGTACTTTCTGGATGCTTGTAGAATACAGGTTCTACTTCATATTAAGTCTTCTTATTTTAACTAAATATGGGAGTTGGAATAATCGGATTTGAGTAGCATGTCATGTCGCCAGATCCTCGCTCTTGTTCACCGACTAGGTAAACTCGTAATAGTTCAAGCATATCAAGTTGACGCGTTTACGTGCACGCGTAACACAATGCTTCCAAGTTTCTAATGGTGGTGTGGTTTAACAATGATTGATTGTTAATTTCAGAAATGTGTAAAAATACTAATTGAAAATTGTAAAACAATCAGGGCAAAACAAACACTGATTATTAATTACTATAAGATATATATATGTATATATTTATATATATATATATATTATAACTGTCAATATCACTCATAGTTAAAATTTATGAAAGCGACAACAATGTAACAACAATGTCAATTCAGAAATAACATTATTATTATTATTATTTATTAATAAATAGTAATAGTAATAGTTAGTTAGTAAAGAATAAACAAAATTATATTGTGAATATGTGTATATAATTCAAGCTGCTGTTTCTGTTTTTCTTCAACTTTTCTTGCTTGAATTTTGTTTCACATTTATATTCAGTGATTTATTGATTTAAAATTTATTCACAAAACACCTGGAGAGTTAGTTAAACACAATCACCGAAAAAAAAACACCATAAGAAAAGAAAGGAAAAGGGGGAGGGAGAAAATAAATTTAAAGAATTCAAAATATACAAGTTATATAAATAAACTGAGAATAAATAGAAAAACAAAACGAATCAAAGAGGGTGGTGGATAAAGAATGGATCAAATTAATATGTCCAAGTGCATACATTATTATTATTATTGTTATTATATAATAAATGGAGATTCAAATAGAAAAAAAAGCACAGGAAGCCTAAATCTTTTTGACACACACAGATACACACACAAACATGTAAGTAGGAATACAAGCAAGTATTTTCATTGAATGTGTGTGTCTTTGTATACTTGAAGTACTTGAATACAACAAACAAAGTAATAAGTAAGTAGATTGTTGTTCAGTTCTCCTAAGACAAAATAATACTCTCCGTAAGATATTTATATGTATATATTCTTTTAAAAAATGTACGTAAATAGTTCAATATAATCAATATAAAACTGGGAACAAGAACACAGGGAAATGTTATTTTTCTAAATAAATAAAAAAACACTCAGAATATATATATATATATATTTTGAACAAAACCGGTTGTATTTTAGGATAATACATACACAAACAGAAAAAAAATGGATAGATAGTTAGTACAAGGGAAAATGAGACAGGAATAAATGAGTGTATAAACTGAACACCTGAGAAATATACACATATATATATATATATATATAGTAAAAAAAGAGGGAAATGGAAAATATTCCACAACTAATTCTCTAATTTTAAACAAATACATTCTTCTATTACTAAGAAATGAGTTGTATAGAAAAATAGGTATCATTTGCATACACAATGTCAACGACGCAACGTTAATTTACATCACATTTCCCCCCAGTTATTGGATTATTTTATCGTTCTAAATCCACCGGTGTCTTTTTTGTTTTATATATATACTGCCTACTCTCTCTCTCTCACACACACACAGACGTGCACACCTACACACACACACACACACACTATCTGACCACATCATTTGATGTATGAGACATAGCCGAAATATGATGTGTAAATATTTGTGAAGATGTGAAGAGGTAGGCAAATGATTGAGCAATATTACTGAAACACTGTTACATACATTAAAAAATTAATTCGTTAGAAGTGTGAATCAGGAAGAGAAAAGGAGAGAGAGAGAGAAAAATATAATGATGGTGTCAACATGTTGCCCCCAAAACCCCAAAGTAAAGAAATCAGAAAAAAACATAATATACACAATAAATACAATAATAATAATGAGAGAAAAAAGCCATCTAACCCATCCCTGTTCATCAGTGTTGAAGAAAAAATTTTTTTAAAAATATTCACCTAACATGATCAATAATAATATCATTGACAGAAAATAAATGAGGAAATAAATATATCATCATATCAATAATAATTGTACTTATTTATTTAACTGTTCAATTTGAAGAAAAAAACAGAAAAAAGAATTTCATCACACCTAAAACCAAATTGATCATTGAGATAAAATGAATGATATTTTGAATTTGAAAACAGACAATGACAACAACACAGCGACACAACAACTACCTGATTGATTGATTCAGTCCCCGGGATCCCAAATTGACAACCAATTAAATAAAACAGTGTATGTAAAAGTTGCATATATATATATATATAATAAAATAGAGAAACAAGGAAAAACCACAGCCAAATTAACATGATGTTGTTGATTGGTGATTGTTTCTGTTTACACGGCTAAAAACCCAAGTGTCTTCTTGGGGAAAATATCAAGTTACATTAAGAAGAGAATGTTGAAAATTTATAAGAGAAAATGTCATTCTACACAAAACACACAGACATACACACAAAAAGTCACAAAAAAGCATTCTTACACCACACTAACTAGCTAGCTCACTTCAAATTATGTCATGCGCATGAGAAGAGGAAGAACAAGGAAAACAGTTTTCATTTTCAGAAAATAAAGAGACAAAATTAAAGAAATCACTAATCATACACACACACGCACACAGAGATGAAGTGGGAGCGGAGGGTGGGGGAGAGTGAGGTGATGGCAAAATTCAACAGGTACACGCACGTGCGCGCGTGCGAGAGAGAGGATGAAATGAAAAAGAAACGAGGGGTAATAACCAACGGGAAACTAAACTCTTTTTTAAATGATAATAATAATAATAATAATAATAATAATAATCAGTGACAGCAACAAAAGACCAAAATTAAAATGAATAAAACCAATGACAGGGTTAATAAACAAGACTATATATATATATGTATATGTAATTCAAGCCGTTTTCGACTGTTTCTACTTAGTTTTGTACACATTATTCACAGAATAAGAGAGAGAGAGAGAGAGAGAGAGAGAGTGAGTGAGAGTTTTCCATGAATAAAAGCTGTAGAGGTAGGTAGGTGCTAGATACAGAGACAGATTCAACATCATCGGAGTTAAAATTAATTAATTAATTAATTTATAACACACAATGACTTCTTTTATTTTTTTTATAAAGATTCTTGATGAATACTACTGAATGTACTACTACTGCTAACAATACTACTAATACTACTAGTAGTAACATTAGTAGTACTGATCAAATTTGAACAGTCTACACATTTTTTCATAGATAAATATGAAAATATCAATTCTAAATTATTCAATAAATGATTTAATTCATTGGAACATGTCAATTTTTCAATACGTGCAGCTATCGATTGAAAATTGGATAATTTCAATAATAAACGTCCCATTCGACCATGTGGTGCATTTGGCCATACTTGATTACAATAATATTCTAAGCCAGAATAAACTTGATCACGTAATAATTCAATGAGTGAACGAATCTCATTAAGGCAAGTTAACGAATCTATATATGTACATATTTATATGTATGTGTAAATGAACAAGAGAAAGAAAAAGAAAACGGAAAAAAAATTAGGAGGTACAATGTTATGAAATATAAAATATGTTATATGAAGTATGAACATGTCAATCAGTCAGTCAACAACAATGTAGAACTTCGTACATATGTATATCAGATTAAGTTGTCATACCACATTAACACACACAGATGTATTTGTCAATTCAAATCCCATAGCAGTAATCGGAGAGATTACGGTTTGAAGATATTATTCAAGAAGTACTGTTGTAATGCCTGATTAGATAATTCCCGGCTAAATCCTATTGCTCAGTATTCTCTGACCACAATACACTGGACAAGTTCCCAAGAATCAAAAACACGGTTGAACAGGGAAAAGATTATATTCCAAATAGAAAAGGTTAAATGGAATAAGTGCCGAAGGCGAAAATAGATACAACGTTAGTCTATTTATAGCATTTACATGAGAAAGCTTCTGGATAGAAATCCACGTGATCGACTGGATTAGATTTAACCAATCAGCACGCAGCTAACAGTACGAGAATCTTCTACCCTGTTCTCCAAGATTCGATCAGGCGCTGATTGGATAGAAAATTAGCCAATCAGCGCGCAGCAGCGTAGTCATGCTTTAATTCCATCTATGTCTCACTAACAAGTACAATCTAGTGAAATAGACTTAAAAAGAGAAAGATAAAGGTGATGAGGAACTCCGAAGATTAGGATTTGAGAGAACACAATGAATGGATACACCTGAACCATACGGTTTCGAGCCATGTGATTCAGGGTTTCTAACCATCGATTCTATCATCTCGCCGGCCCCAATCAGGGGGTGTAATCTGGATAAGAGAATTAGTTATGTAGATTTGAAGTGATGGCTTAGTGGTCAGGGTGTTCAATTTCCCATCATTAAGTTTCAGGTTCGAACTATGTTCAATCTGATACAGTCTGAGCAAATGAGTCGTATTGTTAGATCTCATTCATAAAATGTGGCTTATACCCAAGTACCTTATAAGTTAATTTAAATTAAATGCATTTTTACTTGGAGTAATCAGTGAATTTCAATCATATGTGCAAAACATTGGTTAATAATTGTAACATAAGATTGTATGCAGTTGATGAGAAACTGTGAAATAGAATGAATTCATTTTATTCAGCAAGAGAGAGAGAGAGAGAGCGACAATAACAAAGATGTTATGAAGTCTGTTGGGGAATATTTGGAAGAGAGAACAAGTTACAGCAAACTGGAAAAAAGGATAACTCATCAGGATTCCAAAGAAAGGAGATATTAGAAAGTGTGAAAACCGGAGAGACATCACACTACTATCTGTACCAGAAGTTTTCAACAATATTATCGAACTAAGTATCAGAATCAATAATATGCTCAACTTCCAGATCAAAAAGTTGGATTCTGTAAGGATCGATTATATGCAGATGAAATCGCGACAACTCGGATAGTTTGTGGAACAACCAAATGAATAGAGCTGTTGACTTTACATAAACTTCCTTGAATATGAGAAGGCATTTGATACAGTGAATAGGAGAATTTTATATTACCTTCGACGCAACGTCAGCATCGCAGGGAGTTAACACGATGGATTAAAGAGCAAAACCGTGCACAGAGGGCAGCTCACAGACTAATTCCAAGGGAAAACTCGTGTCAAACTAGGTTGCTTACCCTCACTCTTTCTTTTCCTTCTGGTGGTCGACTGAATTATGAAGACCTAAACATCTCAGAAAAAGCAAGGAGTACGGTGGACACCATGGAAGGCAGCTAGACGACTTAGACTTTATAAATGACCTAACCCTAATATTGCATATACAGAAACAAATTCAGAAGACATACGGTGTGGCAGCAGCTTCCACAGTAGTACGCCTCAACATACACAAAGCATAACTAAAGACCCTGAAATACAACATAGCATACACGAACCAAATCACATTCCATATAGGAGTTCTGGAGGATATAGAAGCCATCACACATGAACAGCATCATTAATAAACAAGGAGGACCTGAGGCAGATAGGAAGGCAAAGTAAGGTCACCAGTCCCAAAATCGAAGAATATCTAGAACTCACAACAACTTCCAGTCAATATTAAAGTCAGAATATTCAATAAAAACGTTGAGACAGTTCCATTGTATGGATCTAAAAATTGGAGAACTGCCAAAACCATCATTCAAAATGTAAAGGCACAGCTATATAAACAGTTTTCTGAGCAACATACTCTGGATCCGATAGCCAGACATCATTTACCCCTAATGTGTTAAAGAAAAGACCAACTTCCAGTTGACGATGAAATTGCGGGGGGGGGGGTGAAGCTGGAGATGGATAGGACACACAATGTGCAATCACCGAATCGTATCACAAGGCAAGCCCTAACTTGTAGTCCTTAATGCCTATATATGTGTATATAGACAGACAGAGAGAGAGAGAGAAAGAGGTACTTGTTGAAATACTGTATGCTAAGAATTCTACCTTGTACTTAAAAACCTATCAAATAAAGCGTTTATCATTATTGAAACCACGAATCGATCAATGTTAGACAACCATTAGAAACCTGGAAGCACTGGACGTGAATTGATCAAGTTAGACATTAACACCGTTAGATACCGACTCAGTGGTCCGGTGGTTAGGCGTTCGCCTACAATAGTGAAGGTCCTGGGTTCGAATCCTGCGGGGTGCAAGAGTCGTGGATGCGCACTGCTGAGGAGTCCCATACCAGGACGAAACGGCCGTCCAGTGCTTCCAGGTTTCTAATGGTGGCCTAACATTAACCGATTCATGGTTTCAATAAAACTTAACAATCTTCACAACCCCGTAATACAGTTTATCATTATATAACTTATGCAGTTAACTTGGATTAGAAGTCAATGTTCCATTTTCAACAAATAGATCACATCTGAATTAACGATTGCATTCCCCACCTACATAGACACATACAAAAGCTATTAGAATTCTTTGAATAGAACATGCGGTCCACCAACCAGCCACCCCCCGCCCCCCCCCAGAAAACTATCACAACATAAAGAAAAAAAACTCACCTGGATTTAATAGTAAAATTAATTTCAAACAACCCAATTCCACCGGATCCAAATTTAACATTCTTAACTTTATGGCCAAATTATGAATTAACTTATAGATGACATTTGTATTCCGTTTACGAATTAAATTATTATCATTCACACTATCCCCAGCATCATCATTATCATCGGCATCGGCATTAGCATCACCGAGATCGGTATGATCAGTGTTAGTTGATTTTGAAGAAATTAAATCATCATTGTTATTATTATTACCACTAGTATTCATTGGTTTTGTTAAATTATTCAATAAATGAAATTCTGGAAAATTTGAATAATAATAATCCATCTTCTCATCTAATGAAATAGATTTATTGACTGTTTTCAACTGTTTTATTTGACCTTGAGTTATAGTTGATGAAATTGAATTTTCAACGGAAATATCAATGACACCGGCAATGTCATTTGTATTAGTCGTCGTCGTAGTAGTAGTAGTGGTAGGAGGAGGAGCAGGAGCAGTAGCATCGGTGATCGTTGTATCAGGAGGATGAGATGTAGAGTTGGATACTGATGATGATGATGAGGAGGAGGAAGGTTTATGATCATTTGCTAACCAATAAACTAAATTCACAACGATCAATTGCATGCATGCTGTTAAAGAGAGAGTAAAGAGATTGAAAGTGAAAAATACGATTGGATTATTATGAATATTATAGAATTAATGTAAACATGTAAACATATAAACAAGTTTTATATATTCTGCAGGCTTTGTACGATATTTAACAAAGTCAGTTATAACCAACGTAGGATCTCAGACAAATAATCAAAAAACAAATTAGAATGATGCTAATGACCAATATGCTTGACAGACAAGATTTCTCGTACTGTCATGACTATCCTGTCTGACCATCCTAAGCAACAAAGCAAGCATGTTCGGGATGCGGTTTTCCACCCTCGAAATGCAAAATGTTACTTCAAGATTGGGTTGCATCGGCACCTGAACTAGTGATAGGGAGTGAAGCAGTCGAGCTTGTTGACCGCTTCACTTATCTTGGGAGTCTCATTAGTGACGATGGTCTGGTGACTGACGAAATCTCAGCACGGATACAGAAGGCTCGATTGGCTTATGCCAACCTGCGTCACTTATGGCGTAGGCGAGATATCCGTTCGATAACCAAAGGACTAGTGTACTGCGCAGCAGTTCGCTCCGTTCTACTATATGGATGCGAAACATGGCAGGTAAGAGTAAAAGATGTTCGTAGGTTACTGGTTTTCGATCATAGATGTCTTCGAAGCATTGTTCGTATATCGTGCGACACCCGAGTGAGCAACGCTGTTATTAGGAAACGGGTGCTAGGTAAGAATGGCGGATCAATAAATGAAGTAATGAAACTTCATCAGTTGAGGTGGTTGGGACATGTGTTGCGTATGCCTAACCAACGACTGTCGCGACTAGCTATGTTTTATATTATCACCCTATGTCTATTTGAACTTTTATTTAATTGACCTTTTATTCATCTTCATATAAAATGCCTTGACAAGTAAATATGTGTGACCAGATTGTTCGAAATGTATAGCGCAAATACATCACATTTTTCAGATCAATTACGTCTTCTCACTGTTCTATCAAAATTTATAAAAGGGACTAACTGTTTTAAATAGCTATGTTTTGCAGTGTAGGAGTAGATTGGAAGAAAGTTAGGGTCGGCCAAACCAAAACATGGCAGAAGTCCATGAAGTCATTGACAAGTGGACTGAGCCATGTCGGTAATTTTCGACTACCTGGTTGGGGTCCGCGAGATGATAATGATCGATGGTTAGAGACCTTGAATGACATGGCTCAAAACCGTTTGCAATGGCGCCGGTACATTTATTCTTTGTGTTCTCTCAAATCCTAAGCTTTTGGATTTCCCAACCCCTCTAGTTTTGACTTTCTAAACTTTTCTCACTGAATCATATTTCTTGAATATCTTCTAATCCGAACCTCTCCGATTACTTCTAATTAACACCTTTACTACCTCTTCTTGACTGACATGACTAGTGGGGTTGATTGATGTCAGAAATGACACAGATGCATGATACGCTTGAATGGTATTACGAGTTTACCTTACTGGGTAAACGGAACGAAACAATGACTCAGTGACACGATACGCCAATCTAATCCGTTTGTCCCCGCTCCGGCTAGCTATATCAAGAAGTCTTGATTGAATAAGGCGTTGAAAGTGTATTATTCTACAAGCACCCAGAAAATACAAAGTTGCTAAACACACACAAATTAAGCTTATTTATACAATGATAGAAACGCCCTTGGGTAAGCCTTAAATTAATGTGTACTAAAATAATCCATCAACCAATAACAGTTAAGGATTTTCTGGTTGGGGAATCTAATCTCAAAGTCAACTAAGCAGCTTATGCACGAAAACATAAAATGTCTAAAATTAGGACCCTTTTCAAGTGAGTTGTGGAGATTTAACGTCCCCAACAATGTACTGTTTTGAAGGCAATGGATGATAATGACGAAAGTAAGAAAAAAGGAACTATTGAATCTAAAGATAACGCACTAGACTCAAGCCCTGAATATCCTTAGTTACAAAGGGACAGTAGAGGAGTTCCATACTAAGACGAAGTAAGTGTTCAGCTACAATCAATCTATGCTATAAACTATTCTCAATATGATATCATTTGATTGAAAGTTGGCAATTCATTAACTTCAATACAATGTCCTATGCATAAAAAGAATTTGCATTAAGGGGTTGTGAAGATTGTTAAGTTACACATTTTTGAAACCATGAATCAATCAATGTTAGACCACCATTAGAAATCTGGAAGCACTGAGAGACGGCCGTTTTGTCCTGGTATGGGACTCACCAGCAGTGCGCATCCACGACTCCTGCACCCCGCAGGATTCGAACCCAGGACCTCCGGTATTGTGCGCGAACGCGCTAGCTGTTAAACCACTGAGCCAGATTCTAACGGTGTTAATGTCTAACTTGATCAATTCACGGAGTTGCGCAACCTCATGCAAAGTCTTAGGTAGACACTGTCTACACCCGAACAGGTTGAACTTCACTGGTCACGTCTTCCCACTAGAACTCGGAGAATATTCCTCACGAAGCTAGTCACTAGTGAGCACAGGTAATTTGCATTACGGGGTTGTGAAGATTTTTAAGTTACACATTTGAAATCACTGCTGATGAGTAGTCCTATACCAAGAGGAAACAGCCGTCTTTCAGTGCTTCCATGTTTCTAATGGTGGTCTAACATTATTGATCGATTCATGATTTCAAATGTATAACTTAACACTATTCACACCCTCGTAATACTAAAAATATAGAGTACACTTCTTTTATATGTTTCGGTCGTAGAACTTTATTGTGAAGTATGAATTTAATTGAAAAGAAATTCTATTTCCCCCCAATTAATGATGTTTACAGATTAGTTTGTATATATATACTGAAGTGGATAGGACACACTCTACGAAAAGCACCTAACTGCGTCACGAGACAAGCCCTCACATGGAACCCTCAAGGCAAAAGGAAAAGAGGAAGGCCAAAGAATACATTACGCCGAGAAATAGAGAAAGATATGAGAGGAATGAACAAACATTGGACAGAACTGGAGAAAGAAGCCCAGGACAGAGTTGGTTGGAGAAAACTGGTGGGCGGCCTATGCTCCATTGGGGGTAACAGGCGTAAGTAAGTAAGTAAGTAAGTAATATATACTGAACCAGTCTGTTTAGTTGATTTTCTCATCCATCCATCCATCCATCCATCCACAAGTAGAATAAGCGCATTATTAATATATACACAGTACAGTACAAAAATTAATTGGAATATAAAATGTACAACACGTGGAACATACATACACACACACACACATGGATCAATGATCAATAGATATCTATGTATGTATGTATGTATTTATGTATAGATAGATAGATATAGATTTGACCCACATAATTGAATAAATGAATAAATGAATGAATATAAACATACATTTATCACAATGCATATTTATTTAGATAATACACCAATATATATCTATATCTATATATACATAAACTCATTGATTCAAACTATGATAGTTGATATGAATTGATTTTTAGGTCAACAATAATAATCATCTAATCAATCATGAATATTGTGAATTTTTTGGAGATTGTAAATGAAAAACAAAAAACAAAAAAACAAACTATGAGATAGTTAAGTGCAAAACGCTTTGAAAACAAAATAGATAGAACAGGTGTAGTTTTCAAGTTGATATACAGTCAGTTAGTCAGTCAGTCAGTCGGTTAGCTGAAACGTAGAACTACTTCGTACGTATGTACGTACATCACAGTTCAAAGTTGCCATACCACATTAACACACACAGAGACGCAAATGTCAAATCAAATCCCATAGTGATAAAGATAGTTTGAAGATATTATTCAAGAAGTAGAATCTAGTGAGATAAGGTTAGAAAGTCAAAGGTAGAGGTGCTGACGATTCCAGAAGATTAGGATTTCAGAGAGCACAACGAATGGATGAACGTGCGCCATTGAAAACGATTTTGAGCCATGTCATTCAAGGTCTCTAACCATTGGTGACCTTCGTCTCGCGGACCCCAACCAGGTAGTCTACATCTATCAACATGACTCAGTCCACCTGTCAGTGACTTCATGGATTTGTGCCATGTTTTGGTCTGGCCGCCCCTAGCTTTCTTCCAACCTACTCCAGTTTGTATACATTTTCATATTGATCAAAGAAAGGAAATCTCGTTGAGTTGATTGTTTTTTTCAACCAACAAGTTAGTTAGTTAGAGGGTGCAAATATTGATGTGAAAATCAAAATGTTTACAAGTAAGTCAATCTAGGCCAGCGTTAGACACTAACACTGCACTGAATTGAAAGTTAATTAATTCATGAGGCCATCGACTGTCGGGTTGTATATTTCCTGATTCAGATTCAGACTATCTGGTTTGGGTCTAGGTGATAACTCTAATCACTGTTTAAGAAATGTTGGATGCCATGGGTCAGAATCTGTCACAATGGCGCAAATGTATTCATGTGTTACCTTATTCTAGATCTTGAGTTTCAATATTCCAGTTACATAAACATTTTTATTAATTTTTCGAATCAATATTCTCAATGCTCATTCATATTCACTTATTATTACAATCATACCAGTCAGTCAGTTACAAGGTAGAACTTTGTACGTACGTACGTACGTACATCAGTTCAAGTTGCCATACTATATTAGCACAGAGACGCCACTTTCAGTTCAAATCCCATAGTGGTGGAGATAGTAGAAGTATTAGCAGTAATGGAGAAGATTAGGATTAGAAGATATTATTCAAGAAGTATAGCTCTGTGAAATAAATTTCGAAAGAGAAAGCTAAAAATGATGAGGAATTCAGAAGATTTTGATTTCAGAGAACACAGAAAGTAGATGCACCTGCGCAACTGAAAACGACTTTGAAGGTGTTTAACCATCGGTTACTTTCCTCTCGCGGACCTCAACCAGGTAACCTACATCTAACATAATTCAGGACACTTGTCACTGACTGTTGTAACGGTTGCTTAAGATATTTCCCGGCTAAATCTTATTGCTTAGTATTCTTGACACAAACACTGGACAAGTAACCCAAATCAGAACACGGTTGAACAGGAAGGATTGTATTCCAAAATAGCAAGGAAAAAGAAGCTGGAGGTGATGGCGAAAGCCAAGGCAAAGAAGGCTTGAAGGCAAGAAGGCGAAGATGAATACAATGCTAGTCTATTTATAGCCTTTACATGAGAAAACTTCTGGAAGAAAATTCACGTGATCGTCTGAACTGGATTTGACCAATCAGCATGCAGCTAATAATACGAGAATTTTCTATCCTGTTCTCCAAGCTTCGATCAGGCGCTGATTGGATAGGAAATTAGCCAATCAGCGCGTAGTGACGTAATCATGCTTTAAATCCATCTGTCCCACTAACAGTGACTTCATGCATTTCTGCCATGTTTCGGCGTGGCCATCACTAGCTTTATTCCACCCTACTCCTACACCACAAAACGTCGCCTGTCGAGGCAGTCGGTGGTTAGGCATACATGACACATGTCCCAACCACCTCAACTGATGAAGTTTCACTACTTCATCTATTGATCTGTCATCCTTACGTAGTTCTCGTTTCCTAAAGACAGGATTTCCTACTCGGTTGTCCCATGATACTCGAACAGTACTTCGGAGACACCTATGATCGAAGACAAGTAACCTACGAATAACTTCTACTCTTACCTGCCATGCTTCGCATCCATATAGTAGGATGGAGCGAACTGCCACGCAGCATACTCGTCCTTTGGTTTACAAACAGATATCCCACCTAGGCCATAAGTGATGCAAGTTGGCAAAAGCCGTGCTGAGATTTCATCAATCAGGAGGCCATCAACACAGATGAGACTGACGAGATAAGTGAAGCAGCCTACACGCTCGACTACTTCACTCCCTATCACTAGTTCAGATGTCAATGCAACCTAATCTTGAAGCAACATTTTGCATTTCGACGGGGAAAACCGTATCCTGAACATGCTTGCATTGTTACTTAGGGTGATCAGAAGACTCTGAGTTTTGTCAGCGTCTTCATCAAATAGAACCATGGTCTTTGGCATAGTTTCAATTTCTTTCTCATGCCTTTCAATCGATTTATTCACATCATGCTAATATTGTATGGGTACTTAGGTCTATGTTAGTTATAACTAACTGGTTAACTGGCTAATTTTGATAACCAATGTAAAATTTACATATTAAGTAACAAGTGAAAATAAACACGTATCAATCAGATAACAACTTGATCAATTCTTCTTCTTACAACTTATTAATCAAATACAGACATACATTTACTTATCGTTGTTTTGAGTGGCAATATTCAGTCAACAACAACAGAAAAAAAAGAAATAGAATGAGTATATGAAAATCAAGCACTTTAACTCATTAAGACAAAAAGCAGTATTATTTTCAATTAAAAAGTTGTTGTAAACTTTCGGATATTATGAAAATAACATAAAGAACTTTTCTATTTTATTATCAATGGAAGTAACCATTGTTTTAGATTATCTCATAAGTGGAACTCAACAATATAGGTAGTAGTATTTATGTTCAAAATATATTTCTAATGAGGAGCTTGAGTAACAGTTAGTACATATATTGCTTATTTTAGAAGAGATATTAATGTTACCTGAATAAGTTTCATCAGTGATGATAGCCTGGTGGTGACTGACGACATCTCAGAACGGATACAGAAAGATCGATTGGCTTTAGCCAACCTGTGTCACTTATTGTTTAGGAGAGATAAACGTTTTCTAACCAAAGGATGAGTCTACTGTGAAGCAGTTCACTCCGTCCTACTACACAGATGCGAAATATGGCCAGTAAGAGTTGAGGATATTAGTAAGTTACAGCTATTCGATCATAGGTATCACAGAAGAATTGCTCGTGTATCATGGGACAACCGAGTAGGAAATCCAGTCGTTAGGAAACAAGTACTAGGTAGAGATGGCAAATCAATAGATGAAGTATTGAAACCTCATTAGTTGAGGTGGTTGGGACATGTGTTACGTATGCCTAACCACCGACTTCCTCGACAAGAGATGTTTTTTGGTGTAGGAGTAGGTTGGAAGAAAGCTAGGGGTGGCCAAGCCAAAACATGGCACAAATCCATGAAGTCATGTTGATAAATGCAGGCTACCTGCTTGGGGTCTGCGAGACGACAAGAACCGATGGTTAGAGACCTTGAACGACATGGCTCAAAATCGTTTTCAGCAGTGTGTATCTATATTCTCAATAGGGGATTGAGGCCTGGACTTTTAGGTCCCGTGGAGAGCACCTAACCTCTAGGTCACTACTAGGTAGGCATCAAACTGTTTGTACCTTTAACTTAGACCGACTGGAAATGCTAAGCGACAATATTTCAATGCTATTGGCGCGTAACTCACTTACATCAAACATGGTTGTACCCAATTGATCATGGCTTAAAGTTTAAAAACTAAATTATTAAACACCTAGTCAGCAGTCTGAAGGTTATGTGCTCTCTGAAAGAAATGAAGGCCATGAGCTTAATCTGATGCTAGGATCATGGATATGTATTGTTGAAGAGCCACATGCCAAAATACAAAGCAACTATCTTGTGATTCTGAGTTCTCAGTGATTATCTAACTAAGGTCATTCTGTAATGACAACTATAACACTTCATAATCTGTATCGGATTAATAATGAGCGATATTGTATCTTAAAACTAAAATGAAAAGCTATTCAATGTTATATCAAGTTTTCAATGATTTTTTGAAGAACTAAAGTCGTATAAACAAACATTACCATAATATAGACAAATAATCATACCTGATTTCAGTAGATCTAAATGAACATTACAAGATAGTTGACAAACATATGGAAGTTTTGATGACCAAATAACTAAATCAAGCAATGGTAAATGATCAGCTGTACACTGTAAATAAGCGAAAGAGAGAGAGAGGGAAAAATTGATTGATAATCAAACAAATTCCAATTATTAAAAAGTAATACTTTGATTAAATATAATGTTGACGGGAAAAATTCATATTACCAATGAAATCAATGAGATGATGATGATGAGATCTCAATTTCCTATAAGTGCTATTCTTAAAAATAAGTTTTTGTTTTTGTTACGATATTCATCCAACAGCCTAAGAGAGTTGTTTGTAAGTCTAATTTCTATTGGTCAATTCCTATCAGTAGTCCTAAATATCAATGTCACATACTTCAAATGATGTTTCTTATTGGTCGTCCTGAATATCAATGTCACTTCAAATGTTGCTTCCTATTGGTCGTCTTAACTGTCAATGTCACAGACTTCAATGTTGTTTCCTATTCGACCTAACTGTATAAATATACATTATCTGTAACGTTTTATGATCCGGATCCCTAGTCCGGGATCCTGATTCTCTTCTGGATTCGGACCTCGTACTTTCTGGATGCTTGTAGAATACAGGTTCTACTTCATATCAAGTCTTCTTATTTTACTCAATATGGGGGTTGGGATAATCAGATTAGAGTAGCATGTCGTGTCGCCGGATCATCGATCCTCGCTCTCGTTCACCGACTAAGGGAACTTGTAATAATTCAAGCCTATCAATTGATGTGTTTACGTACACGCGTAAGTTTTTTAGCACAAGAAAAACACAATCATAAACAAGAGTATGTGAACAGTAGTGGTACTGGTCTGATAGAATCATTTGAATTTTTGAGGATTTTAAAAATACTAAAACAGTAAATTATAAATCTGAATCAGGACTTTGAAAATTGGTAATGAAATATTACTTTTCTTAATTAAGTGATATACAGAAGTATGCTTATATTTTTATGAGTGTTTTCATCAACTCCAGGGACTCCATGAAAAACATCGAGGTTTTAACAGTAAAGAACGGTAAAGAAATGTGTGGTGCTTTCCCCATAAAACGATTTTATCCCAGATGTGTACTTGATGTATAAATTCATCAGTTCATGTCGCCATACCACGTCAGCACAGAGATGTAATTGTCAATTCAAATCCAATAGCAGGTGTAGAAAGGATTTGATTTTGACCAATTTGGTCTCGTGTGTTGTTACGGGTATGAGGGCGGTTATCACTTCCCGGCTGCCCACACCGTGGAAGGTTGTTTCTTGAGGGACCTGAAAAGGAAGATATAGCTTAATCCTACTTCACGGGTGTGAAACATCACCACTAAAAATATGGTATATTCGTAGGTTACTGGTTTTCGAACATAGGTTTCTTCGAAGCATTGCTTGTTTATCCTGGGACCAAGGAGCAAGCAATGCTGGGGGGTTAAGAAAAACGTACTGGCAGATCAATAGATCAAGTAGTGAATCTTCATCAGTCGAGCGATGTTGTCTGATGTAGGAGTAGGATTTTTTTTTAAACAAAGAGCGGTTAAACAAAAACATGGCACAAATCCATGAAGTCACTGACAGGTGAACTGAACCACGCAGGTGGGTGTAGATTACCTGGTTGGGTTCTGCAAGACAGTCGTAACCAGTGTTTCTAAACTTTGAATAATATGGCTTAAAATCGTTTGTAAAGTCTTTGTCTTCTACCAAGTTCTAAACTTCTGACTTCCTCATGACCTTAAACTTCTGTTTCTAAATTTATTTCACTAGGATATACTTTTCTAAGATCTTCGATCTCTGATCTTTTTGATTACTGCTAATACCACTACAACCTATAGGATTTGAATTGATAATTCTATTTTTCTGTGCAAATTTGGTATGGTAACTTAAACTGATGCACGTACATACCAAGTTCTATGTTGTAGCTGACTGACTGAGTGACTGAATCCTTACAATCTAGTCTTGATTGATTGGACAGAGTGAATAAAATACAAGTTGATTTCCTCAAATCACTCATTACAATCTATTGTTTTCATTGTGTTAATATTTTGTTAATTACTATTTCTAAATGGCTATTTTTCCTACGAGTGGTTTTGCCTTCAAATTCGAATTATTTACGGGATTCAATCAATAACGTGACTTTGTGAGCAGCCATTATCCAGCCAGATTGTATCACCACTGCATATTACCAATCGGTCAGCATCTTATTTTTATGTCATAAAATCATTTTCCACAATACAAAAGTGACTGATATAAGAAAAGGTTAGAGCCCTGATTCATAACAAACACAAAGGATATATTTGTTTGTTATGTCTGCACGTAAACACGTTATTTTGATATGCTTGAACTATTATGAGTTTACCTAGTTGGAAAAACGAGAGAGATGGTTCGAAGATCCGGCGACACGACATTCTACTCAAATACGATTATCCCAACAGCCATATTGAGTAAAATAAGAAGACTTGATATGAAGTAGAACATGTGTTAGTGAGACATAGATGGAATTAAAGCATGACTACGTTGCTGCGCGCTGATTGGCTAACTTCCTATCCAATCAGCGCCTGATAGAATCTTGGAGAACAGTGTAAAAGATTCTCGTACTGTTAGCTGCGTGCTGATTGGTTAGATCTAATCCAGTCGATCACGTGAATTTCTATCCAGAAGCTTCTCATGTAAATGCTATGAATAAACTAATGTTGTATCTATTTTTACCTTCGCCATCACCTTTGGCTTCTTATTCCATTTAACCTTGCTATTTTGGAATATAATCTTTTCCTGTTCAACCGTGTTTTGATTCTTGGGAACTTGTCCAGTGTATTTCGGTCACAGAATACTAAGCAATAGGATTTAGCTGGGAATTATTTAAGTAAGCGTTACAACAACATGTATTCTACAAGCATCCAGGAAGCACGAGGTCAGAATCCAGAAGAGAATCAGGATCCCAGACTAGGGATCCGGGACCGGGTACTGGTCCTGATCATAAAACGTTGCAGATAATGCGTATTTATACATTGAGGTCGAATAGGAAACATCATCGAAGTCTGTGACATTGACAATTAAGACGACCAATAGGGAGCAACATTTGAAGTGACAATGATAGTCAGGACATCCAATAAGAAACAACATTGGAGCACGTGACTTTGATATCATAAAATTGACCAGTAGGAATCAACCAATCGGGAATTAACTAACAATTCACTTAGGATATTGTCGGATGAATATCCTAACATTTTTAAACTAAACGATGAAAATTAAGTGGAATTTTAAAGTATCCAGAAAAAAAAAGCAACAACTCATTAGAAAATAGTAGGCACCATCAAAAAACCTACAACACACAAACCTTTTCAAAAACATTTTCTAACCACTTGAAATTTTCTACATTATCTTGTAAACATTTAACAATCTCTGTAGGACATTGCTGTAGTGGTGCATTGAAAGCGCTCAACCATTGTTTACGTCGATTTGAAAGAGTTGATTCTGCTGTTCTAATAAATTCCAAAGCATCCGATGGTGGTGGAATAGTTGTTGTTGTTGTTGCTGCTGCTGAGAATTTTAATGCATGAATATCCATCAATGATAATGATGATGTTGTTGTTACATTGTTGTTGTTGTTATTATCTGTGTTCACAATCAATGAGAATTCTTGAGATGGATATGATGTTTTAATATCATTAATAACACTGGGATTACAATGATTATTATTATTATCTATTGAAAATTGTACAGATTTTCTATTTGATGTTGAATAGAAATAATTTATATTATTGTCTGAGAAATTCGAAAGTATCTGAGGACTAGATGTTGATGTTGAAGATGATGATGGTAATGTACTATTTGTATGATCTAATGATTGAATTAGGTTTGTATCAGACATTATCATTGAGTTAACTGATAATAAATCACGATTTTGATCAGGTGAAGTTGGTGAACGTTGAGCTTCCAATTGGAGTTGTTGCTGTTGACGTTCTTCTTGAACAGCTAAAATTGTAGATAACGAAAAATAAAAACTGTCAGGACAGTCTGCTCTGGTATGGTCGAAGGGAGAGTCTACTTACGTTCTCGAAAAATTCTTATATGACTTTACATATCTTAGCTTTTGTTAGGGAAGTTCTGCTCACTGCTTTCAGATGGGGGAGGACCAAAGTCAGATATTCGGTGCGTAAAATGAGTTATTGGAAATTGAAAGTCTGCCTAGGGGAGTGTGAAAACGTTGATTTTAAACAACCTTGTAGATGAGACCTAGAGGTCAAAATCTCAGAGAGTGGTCTCTCTTAGCAAAAGCATTTGATCAGGATTGGGGTTCTGGGACAGGATCCTAGTACGCAGGTGTGAAAAAGGAAGACCATGATCCGCTTACTTGATCTATAGTTATTTAATTATCATCAAATTTATGATGACTCAATTTGGCGTCGTATTTTACTCTATTTTGATATGACTGGTGTTTTTTTATACTAATATCGACCTGTAACTCATAGAGCAATTCGTCTCTGTTGTACGTTCTGTCTTGTCTAAACGATAATAAGTCATTGTGTGGTCGATTTTAACACATCTCCAGTTTTGGATATATTTTTATGGACACACGCACATACAAACAAAGGTAACCGATCAGAGCTAGTGGATGAGTTGAAAAGATTCTGAAATATTCCTGTGTAAAGTATATTTTTACATTGATATTTAGTTATTTTAACTTAACTGGGTGTTGTTCTTTCAAGTGTATTTACTTTTTGAAACTGGAATATATTGTTTTAAAATTTTTGAAAAAAAATGAACTGACGAAAACATTTAGAAAATATAAACTAAATTTCAAATTAGACAGAAAATAAAAATTAGCATACACATAAATATAGACCATGAATTAAACCAATAACATAAACTGACCTTCTCGACGCATTCCAGCTCGTAAACATTTCTGATAACGACAATATTGACAACGATTACGTAGTCGTTTGTCAATTTGACATTCTTGATTATCTCGACAAATATAAGTGAGTTCTTTACGTACAGTTCGTTTAAAGAATCCTTTACATCCTTCACATGAAAAGACACCTATAAGAGTATGACAAGAGATATTCCATAATATTGTAACTAACTGATATATATATATATATATATATATATATATATATATATATATATATATATATATATATATAAGGAGATTTTTAGATCAGTTAATTTGATCAGCACATTCAAAATATACCTCTTTGATTTGAATCCCAAAAGACAGAATTCATATTGTTAGGATATTCACCAAATATTCTACGAATCATTTTGTAAGTGTAAATTCTATTGGTCAATAATAAGATCGTCCTAGCTACCAATGTCACGTACTTCAATGTTGTTTCTTATTGGTCATCCTGACTATCAGTGTCACTTCAAATGTTTTTTTCCTATTGGTCGCCTTAACTGTGAATGTCACAGACTTCGATGTTGTTTCCTATTCGACCTCAATGAATAAATACGCATTATCTGTAACGTTTTATGACCCGGACCCGGATCCCTAGTACAGGATGCTGACACTCGTCTGGACTAGGACCCCGTACTTTCTGGATGCATGTAGAATACATGTTCTACTTCATATCAAATCTTCTTATTTCACTCAATGGGGGTTGGATTAGAGTAGTGCGTCGTGTCACCGGATCTTCGATCTTCGCTCTCGTTTTCCGATTAAGGTAAACTCGTAATAGTTCAAGCATATCGAAATTGACATATTTAAGTGCATTCGTAACACAAATCATATATGGAAAGGGAATGTTAAGATATTTATAACATTCGAAATGAACGCATAGTAAGTTATTTTCTATTCAAGCAAAACTAATTCAACCTCATCAGTATTCACGAAATTTGCACTGAACTAAAAATGAATGACAAACGTATGCAACATAATCAACCATAAAAGTTGATAATAACATCATTAAACGTCTAATAAGTTACTTAAGTTATATCAAGTCGGTTGCTGTAGATTGGAACAAAAGAGTGGATTGTATGACTTGAGTATCGTTGCACAATAGTATAAGACAACACCATTCGCATACTTAAGGTCGAAAAAAGTTTTCTCCAAGTAATAGATCTATACTAACAGTGATTACATTTGGAGCTATTTACAGAATGTTATCGATGGCGAAGTTGAAAGAGAATGGTTAACTTAGGCAACCCAACCTAACCGGACTATTCAAAGGGAATGATGAATTGATCAAGCGGTAATTATTATTCGGTATTATTAACTTTAAATAATGAGAGCGTGAGAGCGGGCATGTACGTATGAACTGGAAGAAGCAACAAAATAAAACAACATATGAGTGCGAAACATGGCCAGTAAGAGTTGAGGATATTCGTGGGTTACTGGTTTTCGATCATAGTTGTCTCCGAAGCATTACTCGTCTATCCTGAGACAACCGAGTAAGCAATGCGGTTGTTAGGAAACGAGTACTAGGTAGAGATGGTTAATTAATAGATGAATTATTGAAACTTCCTCAGTTGAGGTGGTTCGGACATGTATGATGTACGCCCAGCCACTGACTGCCTTGACGAGCTATGTTTTGTGGTGTAGGAATAGGTTGGAAGAAAGTTAGAGGCGGTCAAACCAAAACATGGCATAAATCCATGAAATCAGTGACAAATGGACTGAGTCATATTGGTAGATGTCGACCACCTGGTTGGGGTCAGCGAGATCATAATAATCGATGGTTAGAGACCTTGAATGACATGGCTCAAAATCGTTCGCAATGGCGTCGGTGCATTTATTCTTGGTGTTCTCCCAAATTCTAACCTTTTGAATTCCTCATCATCTCTATCTCCCCCAATCTTCTCCATAACCGCTAACACTTCTACTATCTCTACAACTATGGGATTTGAATCGAAAATTGTATCTCTATATGCTAATATGGTAATATGACAACGTACGCAGTTCTACCTTGTAATTGACTGACTGACTATCTGACTAACATAAGAATAACAAACTCTACAAAAAATAAAAACAAACAATAACTAACCATAATGTTTACCACTTGCACGATCGGAACATATGGAACAAATATATTGTCCAGATAGAATAGATGCGCCACCTCCACCACCACTATTGCCACCATAAGAACTACTACCACAACTACTTCCACTACTTGTACTAGTTGATCTTCCTCCTGACGGTCGTAACAAACAACATACAGATGATGCTGTCCCTGCTGCTGCTACAGTTGATGGTGAAGTACAATTAGTTGTTGTTAACAATAATGATGGTGATGATGAAGAAGCAGAAGATGAAGATGAAGAAGAAGATATAATTGATTGATGTGATTTATCCTCATTGAATTGATTCGTTAAACAATTTGAATCAATATAATAATCAGTGTTTAAATGATGTGAATGATTATTATTATTATTATTGTTATGTTTAATCGGAGATGATATTAAAATTGGTTGAATATGACAACATAATTCTGATGGTTGAATAACAATACCAGTAGTAGTTTTAGTTAATAAAATATTTTTATCAATAATATGTGGTTGTTGTTGTTGTTGGGTTGTATCTTCTGTTTTAAATACAATAGTACTACTGTTATTAGTATTATTAGTAGTATTATTATTACTATTACTATTAGGTGATTGTTGATTGATCATTGGAATATTATTACTAGAATTTGATGATATACATAAAACCGGTGTAGTTAATTTCTTAGTAGACATCTGGGATACAACAATAGAACATTCTGATTGATGAACAGCAGCTGTTTCAGGAAAATTTATACGATTCGGACAAGTTGATTGAAAAGGAGCAGAATTCTGCAAAAGGAAGAAAATAAAAAGAATTTGAAAGAATTATATGAGGGGATGTTAGAACTAGAACTAGAACTCACTTGGAAATGGTCCTAATTTTGTATTTTATTTCTGAAATTTTTGAATTTCTATGCTTTCACACCAAGAGACGCTGCTTAGTTGACCTACAGTTTACATATTCCACTCAGAAATCCTTCACTGTCATTGGTTGACGAAGTTTTTTAGTACACTATTTTATGGCTCTCTCAAGGGCGTTTCTATCATTGTATAAATAAGCTTGATTTGTGTATTTTCTGGGTGCTTTTAGAATAATACACTTTCTACGCCTTATTCAAGACTTCTTACTTTTGTGGTGGTGTTTCGTTCTCGACGGAAGAGAGACAACAACCGACTAACAGCACAACAACGAAAAGCTCTAAAGAAACTTAAAACCAGGGAAGATATAGCCATAGTTCCAGCGGACAAAGGACGCATGACAATGATCATGGACAGGGAAGAATATATCAAGAAAGCCAAGGATCTACTTCAGGACAGAAGCGTGTATAAACCAGTCTACAAAAACCCTATAAAAAGTTGGACAATCAAATCTCAAAGACTCTAAATAAGCTTGTCAAAGTAGGACAAATATCAAAACAAGATCAATGGAGAATGAAATCCAATGAACCAATAATTCCACGGTTCTACGGTAGGCCGAAACTCCACAAACCTAACATCCCACTACGTCCTATTGTATCCCTCCCCGGAACCCCGACCTACAACTTATCAAGAGAAATTTCAAGCATATTAAACCATCTGGTGGATGAATCCAACTACTCCATTAAGTCTGCCACAGAATTCTTGGATAAACTCAAGAGGATTCAAATTGACAACGACGAAATGATGATATCCTTCGACGTAACAGCCTTATTTACCTCAATAGAGCCAAGCTTGGCTAAAGAAACTCTTTCTCTACTCCTCATCAAACACAACCAAAACAACCAGCTCAGAGAACGAAACACCACCACAATCATCCACCTGAGCTACAAGTTTTCTCCACCACTTCTTACTTTTGCTAGCAGGGCCTGGAATAACAATGGATTAGAATAGCCTACAGGGTAACCGTATCGTTGACCTTCGTCGTTCCGTTTACCGAGTAAGGTGAACTCGAAATATATAGCATTAAAGTGTATCTATCAATTGACGAGCATATCAGCTACTTAACAAAAATTTGAATTATGCATAGTTTCCAATGAAAATCAATTTAGTAATTATCACTATGAAGTAGATAGATGTAGGTGTGGTGCGAGCTACTTATAAGTAGTATATGACATGAGTGTCAACGTAATGTCTCGTAGCAGAAGATGAGGGAAGATCAAGAAAGGAAGAGTTAGAAAACAATGTAATTTGTATGAAACGCATGAATAGTGACAATGGATTGATGTTTTGCAACAGGAACAGTCCAGTTCCATAGGATGAACTGATATTTTGCAAATTAACGATTTACGATATGGTTTTCCGATTTTACTGAGCAACTCTGTAATTTTCGTTAGATACAATTTGGTTGCCCTCACCTGTGTTCTCCTTCACTACATAGGTAAAGTGATTCTTTTTTTCCTCTCAGATATTTCAGTATTTTATCAGTGGTATTAGAACAGCGGATAATTAATTAACCACAAAAAATCGTACAAAATAGTAAAAACCCAAAAATTAAACAAATATCAGTGGTTAAGTAATCATATAGATTATTTTAGACTGATTATCAAACTTCGCATTGCTACCAATAATAATAATAATAATAATAATAGAATTATTAGCAAAATAAATTATTTTTATTCCTCTAATACATAAACAGATAGATCAAACTAATAACAAGTGGGAGAAACTATACGTTGTTAGGGTAACCGTTACTCACAAAAAAAATGAATATTGAATTTGTTTGCAAACATCACTACTTAACTACAATAATTTTAAAATTATACTTTTTTTTCTACACCAAAATAAATAAAAATAATGAATTGATAATAAGTAGTATCTTAAAGATTTTAAATTAAATAGAAAATAAGCTACTATATAACATCTATTCATCTGCCATACTTACCTAGTACTCGAACATCTACTCTTAACGACCATGTTTCGCATCCATATAGGAGAACGGAGCGAACTGCTGCGCAGTACACCCGTCCTTTGGTTAGCGAACGGATAGCTCGCCTACGCCATAAACAGCGTAAATTGGCAAAAGCAAATCGAGCTTTCTGTATCCGCGCTGAGATTTCGTCAGTCACCAGGCTATCAGCGCTGATGAGATACCCCAGATAAGTGAAGTGATCAACACGCTCGATTACTTCACTCCCTATCACTAGTTCAAATGCCGGAGCTGACTTCGCTCTTCGTCATGTTCAGAGTCAGATGGGATGCGTTTTCGAGCATCTATCAGTTCGGTGGATGCGACTGAAATCCACGGCTTCATCCTAGCTTTATGGTTTACCTTGCTAGCAGATATCACTGCTATTTCCACAGCCTTTTTGATATCATTCCAACCTGCCTCTGGATGGGAATCACTTGCATGGTCGCCTAACTGTTTTTTCATTGATCGAGGAACTGTGAGTAGACATTAAAAGGGTGAATATCGCATAGGAACAACTGGAAAGTATAGCTCAGGATAAAGAGGTAGTTAGTTACGTAATCGTGATCGGTTGTCTATGCTCCTCTACAAGCGGTAACATATACAATGTTTAGCTTCATCAAATTATGAATTTAGTACTCTATTAACTCTTAAGTACTTTCACTTTTTTAACGCTAAATCTCACTTACATAATATTTTAGTGATTAAGCTAAAAAATCTCTATTTCACAATTAACTAACACTATTCACACTACTAAAATGGTATTATTATATGTTTAGTGATTTTTATACTTGTTCATATACACATGAAAATAAGTATAGTCTGCATGATACTATACAACTGTGTATATAGTAGTAGTAAGTAGTAGTAGTAGTTTAAGTGATGACCATGTAACTAACTAACTTTTAGGCCAATTATTATTTTGTTTTGTGTGGAAACATCAATATGAATAATAGTATATCATCATAATTGAATGATTTTCATTTGAACAAAGGTCAACATTGTAAACATTCAAAACCTTTTTTTGATATAATCAATAACAAACAATTGTCGAATTTAAAAGAATAGCTTCTCTTCTATAACTGTTAAGTTTTGTTCAAGAAAATCACAAAATGAGTTTTGGTGTGAATAGTAAGAAGGATGATTTAACATGGCGATGATGATGATATGAACAGGGGGGAAGGAAGTGGAGCGACTTGTTGGCAATCATTTTTGAATGTGAAAACATAATGGCTTGAGGTTGTAGCAGCAGTATGCATTCACTACTACTAACTGACACAAATTCCGTTGTACACAATAGTAGGAAAATATAAGCAGTCAAAAGTTGAAGGTACAGCAAACACATTGAACATCGATAGTGTTGGGGATGTTAGATCCCCAAAATCTGCTTGATAAATGCCTTATTTTGGTTTTCACGTTTGCCAGCATGGGCTGATCAGTTGACCTTGAGATTTCAATTTCCACCAGGAAAATCCATGGCTGTGATTGGCTGCTGTGTATTTTAGTGTGCTATTTTCTTAACTGTCTCAAGGACGTTTCTATGTTGTATAAATAAACGAGAGTTGTATGCTTGATTGTACTGTGATTGCTGGATGTTTGTAGAATATACTTTCTACGCTTACAAAGCCTTTTACTGTATTTGTGGATTCAAGGTAGCCTACCTGGACGCTGGTAAAAGTCTCGTTCGCGTTTATCGACTAAGGTAAACTCGTAATAGCCTCAAGCATACTTAGTGACGAGCGTAACAGATAGAAAGTGGAGAAAAGAAATAAGTAATTAAAAAGGTAGGCAGTCATACAGCATATATCACTCACCATATTGTGTAAAAAAAAAGTGAGTTCACTGTCTTAACACATACCAGTTGATATTTCAAACATTGCCATATATCTATAATTAGTACTAAATAGCTAACTCGGTAAAAAAAACGCCAACCAGAAAACATAATTCAAACCATTTTAACTCTGCACTGGGAGTTAGAAGGGTTTCATTTAGAAGAATTATGACGTCGAGTGATGAAAGCCGAGTTCCCTCGGAAGTCACGAGGCCGATGCCTCTTCTGACAACCAGAGCAACCATTTTTTTAGGTACATGGTAAGTACGTACATTGTGGGAGACTGGAAGACTATTTCAAGTTGCGGCAGAAATGAAAAGATATAACCTCGAGGTGCTCGGCCTGAGTGAAACGCATTGGACACAGGTAGGACAACTGAGACTAGCTTCAGGGAAACTGCTGTTATACTCTGTTCATGAAGAGGAAAATACTTCACACACACAAGGAGTTGCACTGATGCTGTCCAAACATGCACAAAAGGCACTAATAGGATGGGAATCTCATGGACCCAGGATCATTAAAGCATCCTTCAAAACGAAGAAAGCGGACATTACAATGAACGTCATCCAATGTTATGCACCTACCAGCGAATACAATGACGACGTTAAAGATCAATTCTATAAAAGGCTGCAGTCAATCGTCAACAGATGCCCAACAAAGGGTTTGACGATTCTTATGGGAGACCTGAATGTCAAGGTTGGAATGGACAACACTGGGTATGAAGACATCATGGGACGACATGGACTGGGAGAAAGAAACGAAAACGGTGAGAGATTTACAAACCTATGTGCCTTCAACAAACTGGTCATCGGTGGCACAATATTCCCGCACAAACGCATTCACAAAGCCACATGGATTTCACCGGACCACACTACTCAAAACCAAATCGACCATATCTGTATCAACAAAACGTTCAGAAGGGCTATGGAGGATGTGAAAACCAAGAGAGGAGCTGATATAGCCTCAGATCACCACTTGCTGGTGGCCAAATTGAAACTGAAACTCAAGAAGCACTAGGCGGCGGGGCAGAAAACATCACACAAGTTTAATACAGCCTTTCTTCGGGATACCGTA